AAATTGTGGTTTATATACACAATGGAATACTACGTGGCAATGTAAAAGAATGAAATATGGTCTTTTGTAGCAACGTGGATGTAACTGGAGAGTGTCATGCTAAGTGCAATAAGTCATACAGAGACAGACAGATACCGTATGTTTTCACTCTTATGTGGATCCTGAGAAAGTTAACAATAGCCCATGGGGGAGGGGAGAAAAAAAAGAAGTTAGGGAGAGAGCCAAAGCATAAGAGACTCTTAAAAACTGAGAGTTGATGGAGGGTGGGAGGGAGTAGAGGGTGGGTAATGGGTATTGAGGAGGGCAGCTTTTGGGATGAGCACTGGGTGTTGTATGGAAACCAATTTGACAATAAATTTTGTATCAAAAAAATAAAATGAATAAAATTAAAATAAATAAAAAATAAATATCTATTTCAGCATTACTTTCACAGTTGGCAGTTATTTTTTAAAAGAAATGCAGAAATATCATATGTATAGCTCTAAACATTGGAATTGTTCCTTGGGAAACTGCATTTTGTGACACACAAACTGGCTGACTAGAAAATACATATATTTAATTAATAATACTAGTAGTTTCAATCACTTTGTATGTAGAAATATAACAAATTATAAAAAAAACTGCAAAGAAATGGGATTTTGGAGTCAGAAGGAATTTTGGAGAATCTAGTTCCTAAATTTTACAGATGAGAAAACTGAGGCAGTTCTTTATTGAATCCAAAACTAGTACTCTGTTTTCCTATCTTCTAATCAGTTTTTTTTTTTTTTCTACTACACCACACAGTACACTTGTGTTATGGCTGAGACCCAAACTCAATCCCTTCCCTGTTTTTCTAATGTTTGAAAGGTCATTGCAATCAAATCCCTGATTTATTTACTCTATAATAATTAGGATATGAGATTTATTTCAAAATATACCCTACAGGTTAGCTAATGTTAAGACAATTAGATTTTATCTTTAGCAGATATTAAATATAAGCAATTCCTTTGGAATTAAATTGTTTTCTATTTCATATGGCAGCTTAAAAGCTTCAGGGCCCTATAAGCCACATGCAGAAAACCTTTGGAGTTTTGTTTTAAAACTCAAAAATTTTAAAGTAAAAATGTTAAGAATTCATAGTCAAGGTTTGATCAATGTTTTTTCCTAAATTCAATAAGGCCAATTACACTGAAACTATACTGTCTACTATGACAGCCACTAGCTACATGTGGCTATTAAACCTTTTAAAATGTACGTAGTCCAACTTGAGACTATAGCATAATGTATGAACTTGTTGCATTACTATGCTCTACATTTGAAACTAATGTAATATTGTGTGTCAAATATACTAAAATTAAAAAAACAATAATGATAAAAAAAGAAAAAATAAAAAGAAATATGGGTAGTCCAAATTCATATGGCCTGTAAGTATAAAGTACATAACCAGATTTTGAAGTTTTAATATAAAAAAAGAATGTAAAATATATTACTAATTTTTATATTGATTATATGTAGAAATGATATATTTTAGATATACCAGGTTAAATAAAATATATTATTAAAATTAATTTCACCAGTTTCTTTTTGTTTCTTAATGTGACTACTGGAAATTTTTAAATTACGTATGTGGCTTTCATTATATTTCTCTTGGATAGCTCTGCATCATCAATAAATATCTAGGTTTTACTGATAAATAGTTCATATATTATCAAGGAATAAGTTAACATTATAAAAACTGCTTGCATTATCATGAGTCAATGTCTGTACTAAAGAAGAAAAGATGTGTAAAAATATACCAAATGCAGAAATCAGCTCTAGTTAGCTTTAAATATGTATTTTTCCTCAGTAGATTTACATTTTTAGTTTGGTTAATAATGAAACTAGTTTATATTCCTTGAACACATACAAATTGATATGAGAGAAATATGGCCCAGAAGCATGGCAGAAAAAAAAATTAGCCTTCATCTTGTTCAATCCGCATATACATGTGAGTTGACTTAAAAACAAATACTGACATATAACACCATCAGATACTCTGAAAATACAGACTAGGCTATAACTTAAAGATTTCCACAATTTAATATGAATGCAACAAAAGATATTTATACTTTATACCTTTGCTCCATCTGAAATATTGTCCCAGTTTCCACCACTCAAAGAGAACTTGCCATTGCCTATACGTAGCAGTATCTCTTCAGGAGTATCATTGGGGCCATTAGCAAATGGAGTGTAGCTATTAATAAAATAGATTTGAATAGACATGAGGGCCTAATATACAAATTAAATCTAATTGAAAGCGATGAATATAAGACAACATGCAAATACTTACTATAGCAAATTAAAAGTATTATCTAATATTTCCCTTTACCTTTCATATCAAGTTTTATATTTGAAACAATGAACTTAATCTTCATGGATTATTTAATAAAATAGGGAGTCTTGCTTACATAAATATTTTTTCCTTTGATCAGTTAATCAAATTAAAATAAAATAAAGATGGCTTTTCGTGTGAAGCTATAGGCTTAAAATTAGACCAAAATAAAACATGCAAAGTTTGTATTCTCAGGCATAAGTTAGCAACACAAATATACTTACTATGAAGAAATTGTTAACTGTATAAATTGAGAATGTATTGAGTGATTGGTTCAAATTTATTCACTAACAAATTAACAGAATTATCCAGGGAAACAGGTTAACAATATTTTTAATTAATGTCCATAAACAATGCGTTAAATATTTATATCAATGTAACTAAAAACTCTATAGTCAATAAAATTATTATGTTGATCAATATTCATGGCCAGGAAGACAAATACATTGTTTAATGTTTAAGTAGCTTAAAATTAATATAGAATAACAAAGTGATCAGTTTGTATCATTATAACAGGTGAAACTGAAAATGGTATTCAAATTTGGGAATAAAGACTTATGGTTAAGAAATATGAGGAAGATATCTTGATATGCTTATGTCTTAATTCTCTCTTGTAGCAATTAGGTAGAGATAACACTAAATATATATACATACACTCACACACAAATTCATTTTCTGTTAGTCATAAAGTAAATATTTGAAAGCAGCAATCTAGAAATGGTATCCCCCATGGTTTGAAACCAGTAGCCCTAATTGCAGTTCATATGCAAACTTTTCACTATTGTTATCCTTAGTACTTGCTGTGGTCTATAACTAAATGTTTTGCATAAGTATGTAATATATCTAAAAGTATGTGGAATATGCTGATAAGCAATTACCATCAATCCAATAAATAATGCAAAGTCATCATATTCATAACATATTTATAAAGCTCCTGTTATGTCAAACATATTTAAATTTTACTAAATTCTTTCTTTAAAAGTCACACCTAAGTACATTATATAATTACATTATAATTCTTCAAATTCCATTCTATGCAATATACTGCTAAACCTAGCCTTTTTTCTACAGCCATAAATTTTTATTCCTAAATAAAAGTGCTACTAATTATTAAGAGTACAACAACAATTATATTATTTATAAATTACCAACATTAATATATTCAATTATTAAATTTGTTTAGTATTTATCTGTTTAAGGGAAGGCAGCTATGTGTTTCTGTAGTTGAGTATTCTGTTACTATTCATATTTTTTATAAAGTATGATCTTACTTAATCTCTATCATCAGAAGAGCCAGAATTCAAGTACTTTCAAAAAATTAACTCAATATCAAGAAACTCAGTGGGCAAGTACCCATTGAAAAAGAAATTATTATGTTCAAGTAAACATTAAAAAATTAATGCACTGAATGTATAATATCAAAATAAAAATACATGTTTTAATTTTAAAAGTTTTAGTTCTAGTTGAAATTCTTTTAATTATATACCTGAAGACTACCACACTAAACACTTCATTTTTTTACCTTTTATAAATAAACAATATATCTTATTTTAAAATGTTGGTACTATTTTATTTAAGGCTATTTTCATCTGTCCATTTCTTTCCAGATGAAAATATACAGATGAAATTCAAATTATGATGTGTATTATTTTGAATATATGTTTCTTACCCAGCCAGCATGGTGTAAAAAAGGACACCTAGGCTCCAAATATCACAAGCAGCGTCATAGCCCTGTTGCATAAGAACCTGAAGAAGAAATATATATTATCTGGTATCACTCAGTATAAACTCAGTTTTCTCATCTGAAAGACCATTGTTGTACTTCCAATAATCTCACAAATGTTCACAATTTAAAAACTTACATCATGTAAATCTTTTCAAAACTAGATTCATTTAATATTAAAGGCAGAGCCTTTGCAATTAGCAAGCATTGAATAAATGGCTAAAAATAAGGTGATTAAGTAACATGGGTCATAAAAGAAACAACTTTGAATATATGATCCCTGACTCCAATAAACTTTCACTCCTACTCTTAGAAAAACCAGACATAGACATCAAAATTTAAGATTAATGCATACAAAGAGCCTAATATGTACTATATACAGTACTGTCTTTTCATCCTGACACTGACTATGAGGTACATATTATTATTTCAATTTTGAATATGAAGAAACTAAGGCAAATGTCACATAATTTGCCCAATATCAAAAAACTAGTAAGTAGTGTAGTAGGTATTCTTACTCTAGAGCTTGTGTTTTTAATGTCTATGATAATTGCCTCCTTACCATGCAAAAGATGGTAAGATGATATATACATTTATGAAAGCAAAATGAATTTATATCTTACATTCAAGGCTTATGTATTGGAAAGAGTGGAATATTTATGGATCACAAAAACACATTTGACAAAATTCTGAATGGCTTAATTAATTTTTCATGCAATAATTTAGGTAGATGATTTTTGTTCTTGGGGCTAGTGTTAATAACATCAAACAATATATTTATTATATATTCATGTGAGGTTTCTATATGAAGTTAGTAGAGTTTTGTTGAAAATAGATGAAATGGATTTTAAGACAAATATTTTTAAAAGTCTATACAAACCAAAGCAATCTACACATTCAGTTCAATCCCTATCACAATACCACCAGCACTTTTCACAGAGCTAGAAGAAACAATCCTAAAATTTGTATGGAACCACAAATACCTCAAATAGCTAAAGAAACCTTGAAAAGGAAAAGCAAAGCTGGAAGCATCACAATTCTGGACTTCAAGTCATATTACAAAGCTGTAGTCATGAAGACAGTATGGTACTGGCAAAAAAAAAAAAAGAAAAAAAAAAGGCACACAGATCATTAGGATTAAATAGAAAAACCCAGAAATGAACCCACAACTCTATGGTCAATTTATCTTCGTCAAAGGAGGAAAGAATATCCAATGAGAAAAAGGTGTCTTCAACAAATGGTGTTGGGAAAACTGGAAAGTAACATGCAAAGGAATGAAACTGGACCACTTTCTTACACTATACACAAAAATAAATGCAGAATGGATTAAAGACCAAAACAAAAATGGATTAAAGACCTAATGAGAGACGGGAAGCCATTAAAATCCTAGACGAGAACTGAAGCAGTAACCTCTTTGACATTGGCCTTAGCAACTTCTTTCTAGATGTGTCTCCTGAGGCAAGGGAAACAAAAGCAGAAATAAACTATTGGGACCACATCAAAATAAAAATATTCTGTATAGCAAAGGAAAATAGTCAACAAAACTGAAAGGCAACCTTCTGATGGGAGAAGATATTTGGAAATGACATATCTGATAAAATGTTAGTGTAAAACCGCTATAAAAAACTTATAAAACTCAACATCCAAAAACAGTTACAAATAATAATCCAGTTAAGATATGGGCAGAAGACATGAATAGACATTTTTCCAAAGAAGACATCCAGATCACTAACAGACACATGAAAAGATGCTCAACATCACTCACCATCAGGGAAATACAAATCAAACTACAATGAGACATTACCTGATACTGGTCATATTGGCTAAAATTAACAACACAGGAAACAGCAGGTTTTGGTGAGGATGCAGAGAAAAGGGAACCCTCTGACACCTTTGGTGGGAATGCAAACTGGTACAGCAACTGTGGAAAACAGTATGGAGGTTTCTCAAAAAGGTAAAAATAGAACTACCTTATGATCCACACTGCACTATTAGGTATTTGCTCAAAGGATAAAAAATACTAATTCAAAGGGATACATGCACCCCAATGTTTATAGCTGCAATATCTCCAATAGCCAAATTATGGAAACAGCTCACGTGCCCATCAACTGATGAATAGACAAAAAAGTTGTGGTATATATACACAATAGTATATTGCTAAGCCATCAAAAAGAATGAAATCTTGCCACTTGCAAGGTAGAGAGTATTATGTTAGGCAAAATAAGTCAGTCAGAGAAAGACAAATACCATGTGATTTCA